TAATCTCCCATAGGTCATAACCTGGGTCAGTGGTGCTGGGTGCCTCTATCTTGCCATCAACATACCCTATTTTCCCTCTCCTCTTCAAAAAAATAGTCAAACTCTGTGACCATGCTAGATAGTTTTGACAATTAAATGGAAAGGTATTGATTTTAAGACTAGGGTTAGGGTTATCAGTCATAGTAGTAGGTAGAATGGAACCCTCACTCCTAGGTGTCTAGTGGGCACACTAGTGGAATTTGCCATGGATGTCGTACTACCGAACCCTCAACAAAACTAGTACCAATCACAAACCCGAAGGATGGTGGAGGAATAGTAAGCACGATGACCACTAAGAATATTAACGAATTAAACACACATTGATTTTTTTTATTTATTATTTTTTTAGAGAATAAAAAAATAAAAAGAACAAGAACTCAAAATTTTAGGTCACTACCTTATCACAAAGTCAATGACAACAGCAGTTCAACCAAACAGAGAGACGTCACAGTAAAAGAATGTCGAAGGAAGCTAGAGATGGCCTCGGGGCTGTCAGCTAGGTCTAAAAGACTGCCAGTGGCAGTCAGTGAGACAAGATGAGCCTGCCATACTGCCTGTGATAGTGATCAAAGGGTTCAACTTAGGCCAGAAGGCTAGTCGGCAGTGACGAATGGTTCGACTTAGGCCAGAAGGCCTATCTACGATGGTAATCAAAGGTACTAGGGTTGTCTCTAGTAGGTTCAGAAGCTAACGACTGGGCTAAAAACCCTTAGGCAATAGCCGACTAAGCTAGGAAGGTGGTACCTCTGTGGTGGCTGTGTAGTGTATGGATTTAGGGTTGTGGCTCTAATACCATGATAATTTTAAAGAATACCAAGAATAGGGAATGATTGTCATATCATCCCCCTTTTACATTAACGAAGATTAATAATTACAAGGGAGTCCTAAGGCAAAGAATAATTGCAATAGATAAATGACTCAACTAATAATATGCTATTCTAACAGGAATATCCATATTGACCTCTTCTTTTAGGTCTTCATGAAGGAAGGCATTCTTCACATCAAACTGATGAAGTGGCCAATCCAAATTTGCTGCAAGAGAGAGTAGTATTCTCACAGAGTTCATCTTAACAATCAGTACAAATGTTTCTTGGTAATCTACCCCATAAGTCTGAGTGAAGCCTTTAGTAACCAGTCTTGCTTTGTACCGTTCTATTGAACTGTCTGCTTTGTGTTTCACAGTGTACACCCGCTTACACCCAACTGGATTTTTGTCTCTAGGTAACTCCACGAACTTCCAAGTGCCAGTCTTGCTGAGAGCTTTCATCTCCTCCATCATGGAATGTTTCCATTCAATAATATAGAGATCATCCTAAAAATTGTTAGGCAGACTCACAAAAGAAATTTTAGAAAAATAGGTTTTATATGAGGGAAACAAATTAGAATAAGAGACATGATTAGTAATAGGATGCTGAGTACATGATTAGCAGTTAGAACATCAAGATTTGAGAACTCGGGAATAGGAGCATTAGGATCAGAATTACCTGGACTCTCAAGAGAGGGGGATGACTTTGGACACTCATCCAGAGAAGAAATTGGCAATAGAGGAGGGAAAGTAGTCTCTTGTATCTAGGTGACTTTTTGTCTATCTTTGTCTCTAGCATAAACTTTACCTTCTTCTTTTTCCACAACAATTGCTGGCTCAACATCTTCTCTTTATTCAACCACTAGTGGTAGTGGCACAAGAATCTCTTCACATCAAGGCTCCTCCTGAAGAGATGATTGTGACACTGGGGAGGTCAAAAAGTAAGGCTAAGACTCAAAGAAAGTGACATCTATGGAGACAAAACCATTTGCGAGATGGAGGATGATAACACTTATAGCCCTTTTGGGTGGCAGAGTAACCCAGAAAAACACACTTAAGAGACCTAGGATCCAATTTACCATGAATGGGTGAATGATTATGGACAAAAGAAACACATCCAAAGGTCATAGGGGGAATTGAAAACCCAGAAGACATGGACCCGAACAAAACCGGAAGAAGGGTTCGTTTTTGAAGGACTTGAGTGAGAACACGATTAATCAAATTAGCTGTAGTGAGAACCGCTTCCCCCCAATATGATCGAAGGACACGCATTTCAAAGGATAGGCAACGGGCCACATCAAGGAGATAATGATTTTTCTGTTTTGCAACACCATTTTGTTGAGGAGTATTAGTGCAAGAAGTTTGGTGAATAATGCCATGGGTGGCAAAATAACTGGCAAGACGAGAGTCAATATATTCCCCCCCCCCTAATTATCAAAGCGCAGAATTTTTACAACCGCCCCAAACTGAGTGCAAGCCATTCTATGAAAGTTTTGAAACACAAAAAACACTTCAATCTTGTCTTTCATCAGATATACCCAAGTGGCCCAAGAACAGTCATCTATGAAAGTAACAAACCATCGTTGACCTTTTAAAGATAGAAAACGTGAGCAACCCCATACATCAAAACAAATCAAAGAAAATGGAATTGAATTTTTATTAATAGAAGGAGCAAAAGAAGCTATGTGTTGTTTTCCAAGTTGACATGACTTACACTGAAAATCAAGGACATTATTTTTCTCAAAACAGAAGGAAAAAGATGCCTAAGAAGTAAAAAAGAGGGATGTCCAAAGTGACGGTGCCACAGCCAAAGGCCTTCATTGGGGGATGGGAATTGAATAGATAAATGAGCCAGATTGTCAGTCTGATCCAGAATACAGAGACCATGTTCCTCTTTACCAATGTCAATCCTCTTCCTCGTGATAAGGTCCTGAAAAAGACAGTGATTAGGAAAAAAACGTCACGCTACAATTCAAATCAGGAGTAATACAACTCAAAGATAAGAGATTAACACTCAAATTAGAAACATGGAGTACAGAGGATAAAGGAAGGGAAGAGATGGCATGAATTAAACCTTTCCTAGACACAGATGAAATAGTACCGTCAGCAATACGCACTTTTTCTTGACCTGAGGAGGGTGTATACTCTGAGAACAAATTGGAGGAACCAGTCATATGGTCAAAAGCACCAGAATCAATAATCCAAGGAACAACCATATGAGATAGTAATGCATTGGTAGAGAAAGCCAAGTTACCTCTTAGTTGCATAAAGCGGGAGCGGGAATGGGAGCGGGAGCGAGGAAGCGTGAGCTGATAGAAGTTTCTTAGGTTGGGGGCGCATTGGGGAGCGGTAATATATATATATATATATATTAATAGTTATGGTGGCCGTTGGCAACATTGTGGCTAGGAATATTGCTCTTCTTGACAAATGGCTTTGGAGATTTCCCATTGAGTGATTCTCATTGGCACTCTATTATTAGGAGTAGGTATGGGTTACGAGCTAATGATTGGGATACCTTTGTAGTTAGTAGGGGTAATTGTCTTTCTCCATGGAAATCCATCTCTCATGGGTTGTGTTACATGGACTTGTCGGTTTCGGCCAGAGTACCCGTATTGACACGACACGACACGACATGACACGGATACGGGTGCAAGACTTGAGTCGGACACAACATCCTTGTGACGGACGCTGCCAACCACAAAGAGAGAGAGAGAGAGAAGAAGAAGAAGAAGAAAACAAAGAAGACGAAGAAGAAGAAGACAACAACGACGACGAGATGATGAAGAAGAGAAGACAAAGAGAGAGAAAAGGAGATCGACATCGTTGTCGAAGGAAAAGACAGATAAAGAGAAGAGGAGATTGAAAGAGAAAATGAGATCGACCTCGATGTCGAAAGTAAAGACAGAGAGAGAAAAGGAGATTGAGAGCGAAGGTCGACGTCAATGTTGAAGGCAAAGGTGAAGGCGAAGGCAAAGGCTAGGGCTAGAGCAAAGGTCGACGTCGAAGGCTAGGGCTAAGGCTAAAGCGAAGGTCAAAGTCGACGGCGAGACCAGGTTTCTCTTTCTCTCTCTCTCTCCCTCTTTTTGCGATCCTATCTTGGACTGAATTGTGTTTCTCTCCATACAAATGTGATTCTTACACATTTCTTTCTAGGAAACACGGAATCGTGATTCTTACTCAGAATCGCTACTTGGTTGCACGATTCCTAAAACTAAGAGTTACCAAAGTTGGCAAAGAAAAAAGGGGATGCACCAGAGACAGTAGTAGAGGCTCAACGGTCCAGGAAGTGGCAAAGAGCAATCTCAAACTTTGAGGTAGACAATCCAAAAACATCAGCAGCAGACGAGGTAACAAGATCTGAAGGTGGTGCCTCAACCATGTCAGAAAGATGTGCCCAAGCATTGGACCTTTGGCCTCTAGTCTGGATCGACCTACCCCCTCGAGAACCAGGACGATCGCCTCGTCCACCAAGAGGAACTTTGCACAAGGTTTTGAAAAGCAGTTGTGGTTGCCGTAACAGTTGCGGCAATGCGGTAGCGGTTGCAGGGTATAAAGGTTGTAGTGTAACGATTGCAGTAACCGGAACCATCATTTTTTTTATTTTTCGCACAATTTGAAGAAAACTTACCGATACGCATAAATATATATTCATAATCACATTTATTGGGATTTAAAATAAATTTTGATCAAATTTTGTTAATTTTTAAGTATGATTCAATATATTTCATATTTTCAAATCACCATAAAAGGAGCTTTTTACATTTTATTTCAATAGTTAATGATTTTGAGAATAACTGATTTTAAATGTCTACAAATTATTTTGTTACCAATACTTGAATTAACAGAATAAAAAATATTCACAATTATTAAATGAAAGGATTATAAAATAAAAATTGTGCCATAAATTTTTTAAAAAAAAATTATAAGGAAAAAAATTCATATAAGATTTTTTCTTTGGGCTTGGATCACTTGAATATTCGTTCTTTTTTTGTAAGCTTTTATTTATTTATTTATTTTTGGAAAAAGAAAGCTATTTAGAATATTATAAAAAGGTGTAACGGTGTCTAACATATTGTTACGGCTGTTACGGAACCACTACGGCTGTTATGCAACACCGAAACGGCTATTACATATGTGAATTTCCGTTACACCACTATAGCGGCTGTAACGGGTGGCGGTAACCACCACAACCATTACGTAACAGTTGTGGCCGCTTTTTAAAACCTTGCCCATGCAGCTTCCAGCAAGTCTCTCGTGTGTTTCTAGGTCTACTACAATAGTCACAGAAGAGATTATCCTTCTCAAACGAAGGACGAGAACCATGAGGCACACGCTCTCCATCTCGAGGGGGTATAAAAACCAAGACAGAGCGATTGGTAATGGCAGAAGAAAGCATTGCAGAACGGCAACTCTCCTCATTCTGCACAAAAGCGAAGCCTTCTTGGAGAGAAGAAAGCACGTCCATGCCAAGTACTCTGCTCCGAACCGGATCATACTCCATATTCAGGCCTTCCAAGAACTTGAAGACCCCCTCCTGCTCCACAAACTTCTGGTAACTAGTAGAATCAATGGGACAGATAGGCTTGTAATTCTGAAGGTGATCAAGCCGCTTCCACCTATTGTTAAGAAAGGTAAAATACTTGAGGATAGTCATGTCACCTTATACCAACCTTTCAATGGAGCGACGTAACTCGAAAGCCTGTGAGAAGTTCTCCTTACTGGAATACGTAGTAGTAACAGCCTCTCAAATGCCCTGTGCAGTCTCTATAGCCAAATAGCCCTCTGTAATCTCAGGAACCATAGAGTGGATCAACCAACCCATGATGAGAGAGTTGGTAATTTCCCATTGATCATAACTAGGGTCCGTGATACTAGGTCCTTGTATCCTGCCATCAATATACCCCATCTTCCCTTTGCTCTTCAAAATAATAGTCAGACTTGGCGACCACGCTAGATAGTTCTGACCATTGAATAGAGAAGTGGTGATTTTAAGGCCAGGGTTGAGATTATCAGTCATAATAGAAGGTATACGGGGACTCTCGCTCTTAAGTGGTTGAGAAATTGTTGACTCACTAGTGGAATCTACTGTGGATACTCTACTAAGTAACCCTCAAACCTAGTGCCAATCACAAACCCAAAAGATGGTGGAGCAATAGTAAACACTATGACCACAAAAAAATATCATAAAAAATTGAAAATAAAGAAGAAAAAAATTTAATTTATCATTTATCATTTTTTGTTTTGTTTTGTTTTGTTTTTTAATAAATATGTTTAAGAGATATTTAAATGGAAAACATTACAGAAGACAGAAGGTCGACAGAGGGAGTGTTTGGAGACTGGCTAACAGAGGCCTAGGAGGCAAGAGAGATGCCGACAGAGGCCAAGAAGGCCAAAAGGGCTGCCGACAGGCCCCTAGAAGACCAAAGGGGCTGCTGACTATGCCTAATGTCGGGGAACCCATGAGGCCTGCCGAAGACCTAGGCAAGGGTGTCAGAGGGGTGGGTTGACTATAGGTGGGCTAGGTGAGAGTCTACAGTGGCTGACTGGACTACTAAGGAAAAAATAGGACTGTCGACAGTGTTCCTAAGTGGAAAGGGACTGCCGGCAGTGGTGCTAAAGCAATGGGCTAGGGTTTTGGCTCTGATACCATGTAAGTTTAGAGAAGAGAAAGAGATACGGAATGAGTGAGACATCATCCCTTTTTATATTGATAATAATACGTAATTACAGGAGTGCCATTAGGCATAAATTACAAGCCAACCTATCACATCAATCAAGAGAAAATAAAATCAAATAAGAATAAAATATAGCAAATATTATTTCCTATTCTAACATTTTCCGCAAGTGCACCACGGTTAATTCAAGGGTTTTCCCCCAATCCGATGATACAAGGAACTGTTAGCACCTAGGAGGTTTCAATCCTAAACCGTGTACTTTCAAGATGAACTTCAATGGCTGTTTCTTGAGAAAAACAAAATTCATGGCCAAATTCCAACATGGATGTTAAACACAAGTAAAGAAACTTTGGAGGTTTTATCCCTTAGGGAAAACTTTCTAACTGGCTTGGAGCATCCAAATATCATTCATTGGGTTAATTTAGGCATTTTAGACCTTGACTATAACATGCTGCAAGTGCCACAACCAATTCCACCCTTTTTTATTATGTCCCAGACAATAGATTAACTGCAGACAATCCACCATTGACCAGTAGATTGAGTTCTTTTTACATACTCGATTTGTCTAATAAGAACTTGGCTGGAACTATTCTTCCAAGTTGAGTAACCTCAGCAATTCTCTGTCAATCCCAAATCTCAAAGGCAACAACTTTCAGGGTCCCATTCCTCACTTATACAATAAAGGAAACAAATTGAAGATGATTGACTCCACTAGTAATCAATTACAGGTGAATGTGTCGAGATCATTAGCAAGTTGTACTATGCTTGAGATTCTTGATCTCTCAAATAATCTTATTGAAGATACATTCCCCTTTTGGTTAGGAGTTCTTATAAAGTTATAGGTTCTCATCTTGCAATCTAACAAATTGTACAGTGCAATGGGAAGTCCTGAAACTAAGTTGGTGTTACCAAATCTGCACATAATTGACCTCTCTCATAATGGTTTTATAAATGATTTGCCAACCAATTACTTTCAAAATTGGAACATAGTGAAACTTGTTGACGTGGATAGGATAGCATATATGTATGCAACCCAAAAATTCCCAGTTCAAAGTCAAATGTTAGTCGAAGATAGCTATTTCCATACAATGAATATAACAAACAAAGGTGTAAATACGGAGTATGAGGAGATCTTGAATATCTTCACTGTCATGGACTTCTCAAGCAACAAATTCAAAAGGGAGATTCCAAAATCTATTGGAAAACTCAAGAGGCTCCAGCTACTCAACCTTTCCAACAATGACCTTAGTGGTGAAATCTCATCATTCATTGGGAACCTAACAAAGCTCGAATCATTGGAATTTTCTGAAAATATGCTCTCAGGAGAGATCCCTCAACAATTAGCAGTTCTCAGCTTCCTTGCATTCTTAAATGTCTCAAATAACCATTTCTCACTGGACCAATTCCACAGGGGAAGCAATTCAATACATTTTGGGACAATTCCTATAAGGGGAATTCATGATTGTGTGGAGATCCTTTTTCAAGGAAATGTGGAAAGTTAAGGCACTACCACTATTGCTACCATTGAACTCAAAGCAAAGTAATGATTCAACATTCCCAAGTGCAATTGATTGGATTGTCATATGCATGGGATATGTGAGTGGGTGAGTGGTTGGGATGGTTATTGGGCACACATTGACCACAAGGTATCACGAATGGTTCATCAACACTTTTGGAAGGAAGCAACACAAGTTGAGAAGAGAAAAAAGTAGAAGACATGGAAACTAGAGTTAATAAGGCATTCTTTCATAATAAATTTTATACTTACGGGTACATTTTTAGTTTTACTAAATTATTATGTGCATTGTTTTAGGGTTTAGGGTTTATGTACAATGTTTTTGTGGCATGTTTTAGATGAAATCATATAACTCTAGCTTGTATTTATGACATTACCATATGTATTTTGTTTGGCAAGACAACCAACACTAGTTAGGCTGATGCACCAAGGTAAGATTGCAAAAATTCTAGTAAGCATCATGTATCATCCAAAGACATTGGTTATTTGTTTTCCTTCTTCATATTCAGAAAGAGAGAACATATGACTTGGAGGGTTTCAGGAAACTTAAATCTTAACAAAATACTATGCCTATCTAGATCTTTTATATGGTGACCAATGGCATAAAAATAAGAAAAATGGAAATTTGAAATTTTTTACATAGCATGTTTATAGGGTATCATAATATAAAGTTTTGGAATAATGTTGAGTCTTTGTTTGTGTTTATTTTAATTTAGTATAGTGTTAGACAGGTTTCGTCATTATATTAAGTTTTAATAGTTAGGGTTAATTTGACAATTTTATCAGGGCAAATTACACACTGTATCATTAAACTTTCATCTAAATTTCACTTCGGTCTATATGCCTCAATTGCAACAATCTTAATCTTGAACTTTTGAGCAAGTTTCAATGTTGCCCTTCAATCAACTCCCGCCACAAGAATTAACAAATTTATGTTGATTGGCCAAGGGTAGTCTTGACATTTTAAATTTTTACACCAATGACTTTTTTTTTTTTTTTAAGTTATTCATATCATTACCAGTCAACTAAGCGAAGGGAAATTTTTGTATATTGTCAGAAAAAGTAAGGAAAGGTAGTGGAATTCTAGAGCCAAATGGGAGGTCCATATAATTGTTAGAAATCTTGAGGAAATCCATGAATTTATTCTAAATGATTTTATAGAACTGCTAAGACCAGCAATGCATGGGCTATCAATCGATATCAATATGTCTCAAAACAGCAAAGATTGGAAGACAAACATTGTAAATATAAAACATCAACGCAAATGAATAAAAATCAAGTTTGCTGCTATGTAAGGTATCATATCTAAACTAAACTAGGAATACAACAGATTTAAGATATAAAAATTTATTTAATTTCTTCATCATATTTGTACAAATATTTTTCGTATATCTTCCCAATCAACTTACTCTAGTCTATACAAACATACATGAGAGGGAAACAACATATTTCAACACCAAGAATTAAAAACAATATGTGAAAAGGCAATCCATCTATATCAATTTAACCGTTATTCCAATTTTAAGTTCTTCCTCATTTCTTTTTAGTTAATCCCCTGATCCAACAACCACCTTGTAAAAGGAGTCAACTAGTGTGAAATATTGACAATGTCAAGGTGATAAAACTTGGATATGAATATCCCATTTGACCTTATCATTATGTGCACAGAGAAACTTTTGACAACAATATGACTCAAAAGATTAAATTGATATAGCCACTAGATTAAGATTATGGGTGAGAGGTGTGGTTAGAGGTAGTCTAGGAAGATGGCGGGCACTTCAATCGCCTGGGATCACTGGAGGTGGAGAGGAGGCGATCAAGGCAAGCTTGGAGAATGAGAGGTTGGCAGTGATAGACTTTGAATACTGATGTAGAGTGTGAGGGGGGTGATTAAGCACAAGACTGAGTTGTATTATTGTTGTGTCTCGCTGCATATACGATATGTTATATAGGCCACAGAAGTATTGGAGCCCAAGCAAACTGTTGGACAGGTGGCTCATTCTCCTCAACTCTTTCAGAAGTGATATAAGTCTTTCTACCATCTGTAGCTTGATGGCAAGCAGAGAGCAACGCTTCATGGCAGGTAGAAAGTAACATTCTATATATGCATCGGATGACATGAACGTAAGGTCATTGTTGCCTCTTCTCCAAGCCTGGTTGAGATGGAGTTATCTTAGCAAGAAGACAACCATCTCGACAATCCCATGACCTCAGTTGCTAGTCCAGTATCTTCTGATGATCCCAAGTAGTAGTGCCTGGGTCCTGCTCCCAACCTAGGCATCCAAGCAGATGAATGGGCTAGGGTCCACCTCAGTGTTTAGGAGAGCCAAGGGCTCGCTTCCAAGCGACCAAGTAAGGGAATGGGTCATGGGCCTATCTCAATGTTTAGGAGAGCCAGTGTTTATCAATCCAAGTCCAAGTTATATTGTTGTTTGGTCTTTGGGCTTATATGTATGCTCTCGC